TATCTATCTATATATATATATATATATATATATATATATATATGTATATGTATGTAATTTTTCACTTTTTACGTTTCCGCATTAAGAAAAAAATTACATAATTGATTTTCAAAAAAAAGCATCTCGGTACAGTACCTAAATATACATGTTTATTTTTCTAGACCTGTACTCCTATACTTCGGTACATTTTCTCTAGAATATCTGTATTTGTAGATACTTAAGTACTGCATGATACTTATAGTAACATAGGAGATTTGTTCGCGTCACATGCTCAATGAGTGTGTTGGAGTCAGTAGCAGCTAAGAACATATTGGAACATGTATATTGAAGTATATTGTGAAACAACTTGAAACATACATATTGGAGCATATTGTGAAGCATGTTAGAACATGCGAAGCGAACAAACTTACAACATCAATGTTATAATTTCACTAAACTCAACAATGTAATCAAGTAACTATATATGTAACACATGCGTTATATTACATTTATATTGTTGAGTATGAAATTATAACATTGGTTACTATTAATTATGATATTTTTGTTAATTATCGTATTTACGTGATTCCGTCCCACTTACCTTCTCATAGAGCCAAAAAGCACTCTTCTCACCCACACTAAGACCAGATTTTGTTAGATCTTTGATTCCCTTAAATTGTGTAAAGACGAACTCACTGGCCCGATTAGAGTAAAAAATCTGCGGCTGGCCGGCAACCGGAGTCATAGGTACTGGCGTTTGTCCGTACGGCGTCGGTACATAACCCATACCGGTCGCCGTCTGCGGATGCGGATAATATTGTCCGGGAACCGGAAGTAAGATCTTTGGCCTGGGTGGCATCTTTCGCATTCGTGGTGAACTCGACATATTAATTTTGCTGTCACGAAGTACAGTTCTGATAAACACTTAAATGAAATGTGCTCTTAGTATCTTACGCGCGTTTCGAATACGACGATTTTCCGCGATCGTTTCCTCCTTTAATCGTTCAAATTTTACAGGGAATCACAGGGAGAAATTATCGTCCGATACTCTTGTAGAGCAATTCCCTAAGGAATGCATTCTTCCAACTGCATTTAAATTCTTCCGACGAAGCACCTCATTCTACAAGAAATACGATTACAGTCACTGGTTAGAGTATTCAACGTGACGACAATCGATTCTGCGCTTACGTACGATATATGAGAATCAAAGATCCTCGAATGTTTACGACAAATCACTCAACATTTACGCACAGTTCGCTTTACTATAAACTCGTTGGCGTAATGGCGACTGGTGTCACTTTAGCCACTTTTTGTCGTGTCTTGCTATTTTCCACAAATTCTATGACTTTTATTTGAACGTAGATATAAATAGACAGACAGACAGAAGAATGTTGGCAAGCTCCTAGAGCGGGATTCTGTGGAAGAGATTTATCTTGAAAAGCAACCGCGTGTCTCTCCGTAAAATTTGCGAAAGAGGTCATTCGCGGCTTCTTAAATGATCACGAAGAGCCATTAATATATCGCTACATCTCACACTGTAAAAAATTATAATTCTTAACCAAGTAACTGCTTATTGCAATTTAAGATATTGCAATAAGAAGATATTCACCTATTGGGGAATGAATTAACCGAAAGTGTTAAATGGAGCGCTTTAATAAATTTGTATCAAATAAGTCTTATTTTCCGCTTGAAATATTAACGAAATCATTTATATTTAATTAATATTAATATTTACAAAGAGCATAAGCTTGAAATACTTTAATATTACAATATATATATATATATATGTGTGTGTGTGTGTGTGTGTGTGTGTGTGTGTGTGTGTGTGTAATGTAATTAAAACATTTCAACTTGGTTTCAACAGAATCAAAATGTTTTAATATTAAATTGAGCATTAAAAAAAATACTAATTTAAATATGTTAATTATTCCAAGAACACTCTTTCAAAGATATAATGTATTAATAGTCCAATCTCTCAAAAATAAATAGTATCAATTTCAGTGCCAATTAATCAATGCCAATGATGACGGTATAAAGAATCGTGCCAATCATAGACGTCCAATGATCTTGACCGTGTTTTTAATGATCTCGCAACTTATGCTCCTGTAATCCAAATCTTGTTTCTATTTAAAATTAAAAGTTTCTATCTTCTTCTTGTTATTATTATTATTACATAACGAGATTGTAGGTCAATGGCCACATGGATTCTAGTAATAGACAGTATGAGATCGTAATATATATAAAGTGCACTTAAACGTGTTGGACAGTGAAAGAGAATTATATTTCACACAATTGCACAATCGCATTTAGTGGAAATCACGTGTGATTTTAATGCACAAAATAGATATTTAATGTCATATGAAGTATGTCATATGAATAAATACGATTGAAATAAAGTTCTACAATGACATTAGAAACATCTAAATATTTAAAACATTAAACACTGACATAAGAGATCTTTATCACTAAACTGTACATTATTTCGCTGCTTGTAAAATTTTATAGGGTATTATTGGAGTAATATTTAATTAATTTTTAATTAAATTTTCAACGGAAAATGTGCTCTGTTTTCTGACTACTTTTAGTTATGTCAATATGTACAAATATTTATAATATATTTATACGAAAATTATGTAATTTCTATGCAAAGCTATCTAAAAGTTTAAATGATTTTAAGAGAGATTCAAAGAAATACGATATTTTGTCGAGTATTAATTCTGATTCTAACTTTAATTTGTAATTTGTATTACAAACTGTATAATTTCTCAATTTGATATAATATAAATAATTTGTTTAAGAATTTTATGAAAAATTCCTATGTAAATAAGGTAATCATGTACAAACAATTATACGTGCAAAAGAAAAGCGTGGTAATTCGATTCGCCAAGTCCGTGATCTTAATCCGATATAAACGGCAATTGTGCTAATAGAACAAACATACGAAATCTCAGATTCATTATATCAAAAGAAATATAATAAGAAGTATTGCATGATCTTTCATCTTTTTATGAGCTGTTGCCATTGATTTATCACCTGTCTCAGTCACAGCGAGCAAATTGCAAAAGCATAAACTCGGTCTCTTCCTCTAATGATGCAAGTTGATACTACTTCTTATTTTATCTCTTTCACTTTAGCTTAATCCATCCGGTACTTCTTATTCAGCCACTGTCTGCAGAAAATTGCATTAGTCGCGAGACATTGATCATATTAAGTTTCTCTTAAATATTAACGCGAGAATTTCCTTCGTGAAAGCTTTTAAAAAAATATCCCTTGCACAATTAAATTTTCACGCATTGTTAATTTTGTTTCGTTTTCATCACGTTATTTTATATTTATTTTATTTCTTTTATTTTTAATTATTTTAATTTATATTCTATTTAGTTGTATTTATTCCTTGCTTTTATATGCTTACAATTAGTTTTGCTTTATGATTTAAGACTACGACACTCATCCCCCTCACGTAATTGAGTCACTCACACGGGAAAGATGAAAATTACTGAGGAAAGCTCGTATTTCCTTTCGACGAGGGAGTCGTCCCTTTCCACTTCCTCAACGCATGTCCTTTTCGATTTTCTTCGACATCCCGCGTCTTCGTTCGTCATTTGATGCCGATCAGGAGAAGGGAAAATCACTCGTATTCCACGTTATCCTTTCCAGCATTTGAAAGATGGTAGTCTCTTATTCCTCCTCCGCTGAGAAATGGATCAAACGTCCGATTTACTCTGTTATTTTGACGGATTATCTGATTCGCAAACGATACAATGACGAGTCAATAATGCGTGAAAGAATTATCATCCCGAAACTAATTATATATACAAAAACTCTTAAAGTTTCCGAAGTCGTTCTTTTAACACACTTTTTTATATGTGGATTCTTATGATGCTGTTAGATTTTAATTTTTTACCAGGATACAGTTTAAAATAATATGCAACACACCTTTTCATTCTTTCTCAATTATTATTCAAAGTTAATTTGAATCAAATTAAGAATTATAAGCAATAACAATATTTGTTTAATTATGCGCTTTTATCTAACTTTCTTTAGAACAAAGTGAAAATAAAATACTGTCGCCAGATGCTGTTATAAACGTCTCCAGCGTACCTCCGACGACAGCGTCGCGACGCTAACTGAGAAATACATTCGACGCCGGAACTCTGGTTGCTTTGAAACCGGCGCTATCGGCTACAGGGCCGTATAGCCCTGCATAAAAAATTCATAAAAATAAGATGCTATCTTACAGAAATTTATACTGGAAGTTAGTGATTAATTATTTAGTTTGAATATTAAAAATATTATTATTTAACATTCAAAATAAATAATTTTTAGTAGTAGAAAATTAATTAGTTAAATTAAATCCGATTTTTGTAAAGAATTAACCGCGAGTTTAATTTTTTATCCCCCTCTGTCCTTTTCTTTCCTTTATTTCTTTTATCGCATTTATTTATTTATTTTAAAATTAATCGATATTTCTGAAAGATTGATATTTTTAAAGTCATGTCTTTTTCTTAAAGACAATATAAAAAAATTTTCTTTTTTCCAAATTCAGTGTCTTTGAAATTGACATGATTTAAAAATATTTAAGTATGTAAATAAGATATAGTTTCAAGTTTAAATATATAGTATAGTATAAAATAATTATTGTTAACTATTAGGAAATGGATTTTATGAATGCAAATGTAAAAATGTTATGCTTACTAAGTAGAATTTGTAATACAACATTTAATTGTATCTTTTTGTAACAGAGAAAAAGGTACTTCCGTATCTTATATTTCACGTATCGCCGTATCGATTTCGACTGGCTTTCTATTTCAACTAGCTTTTCGCTTCAACTTTACAAGCATTTCAGTGCTGATTAATATTACTTGGATACGAAAATATTCTTTTTATTTTTTTAAAGTTAAAATTTTAATTAAATATAGTTGATTTATTACATTATTCTTGCATTCGCATATTTATTTAACATAATTGAAAAACATTCCTGGAAAGTGTGAAAAGTTTGCACAAAAAAGAGTAATCTTGTATATTTAGAAGAATAATTAACAAAAATTATAGATGAAAAAATAACAGAAAAAAATTAACTAGATTCTATTTTAAGGGAAATATTCTTGTTTTCAATATCGTTTCTATCCTTTTTTAGAAATTTTTTGTAGACAAATATAAAAATTATAAACTTGAAACTTGGTATATTTATTCTTTGATATTTAAATATTAAAGGATGAGATTTTATTTATATTAATTAAAATTTGTTTTAATTTTTTATTTCAGATAATTTCTGCACACACACATACACACACGCACGCACGCGCGCGCACACACACACACACACACACACACACACACACACACACATTTTAATAGCATATTTTTTTACATAATTATACAGATTTGCAAATAATTTCCAAAAAAATATTTTATTTGAAAAAAATTTGTAAAGAACATTAAAATGTCAAAAAATATATGTATCAAATTAAAAAAAAATTATATCTAGTTCTTTTATACTTTACAAAAAAAATTCCTAAAAAATATACTTAAAGCAAGAATACTATCTTGCATAATTGTTAATTATTAATTTACACAATTATTAACAATTATGATTGCCATAAAATTTTAGCATAAAAATAAGAATGTATTGTGTAATTTTTACACGTGCCTATTTTTATATATTCATTAACCAAGTAAATATAAATTACATTATTTCTTACTTTATAACAAATTTTTTATAATTTGAAAGATATCAAATTTAGAAAATAATTATTAATTGTGATATATCTGGTATAATTTATAGAATTTATATGAATATATAAATATCCAATTTAATTTTATTTAAATTTAAATTTAATTTTAGATTAATCGAATGTTAATTCAATTTGATTTCCAGAATTACTTTTTCAATCTTATTTCTAGTTACAAGTCGTAACAAAATTCTTTTTATAATTTTATATATTTAGTAATATGAAAAATATTTAAAGAATCAGAATGTACACATTTGTAAACTACATTCCTACACACTTATCGGCTAATCGTGTTTATAATTCGTATTAAAGTTCAAAATAAATTTCTATTTAAAATCATATTTGCAGTGTATTTATATAACGTGCAGCAATAATGAAAGCATTTTTTCACATTATTTTGTCATAATATATATAATAAATCTAAATCGCTTTTATATTGGAAATATGTATCGCGAAAGAGAATATGTTAAATTTTTCAGTTATTCGATATCATACAAAGCGATTATTTTTACATAATAAATTTTGTATTTTACAGAGTTGTGATAGATTCAGTCGCATTAATGGATTAAATGGAGGACATTTTTAATAGATATTTAAAAAATATTAAAAGAAGCTTTAAAGATAAATTTTATGTAAGATTTTAACTATAATAATTGAGCATTAGAAAATTCAAAATGGCTTCTATATCTAAATCTATGCATAATAATTAGGAAGCATTTACATTTCTAAAAATTGAATGTGTAAATTAAATTTGTATCTAAATTTACAGTCAATCGATCACTCTTCGGTTATCCTTTAGTAACATAAGAACATGAAGCTTGTAATATCATCTAATGTTCGAAACGACCATTTAAAATAAATTTTAATCGTCATCGAACTGCTATTATTTATATGTTGCGGAAACAGCCACAGGAAGACATAAGCAAACGTTTGCCAGCGATATACCTGCGTGGACGTATTTCTTAGAGAATCAAGATGAAAATCAGACCAAAGATAATGACTCATCATGATTTAAGATTGATGTCATTTTAGGAAGAGGGAAATTAATGATAAAGATTTATTCTTAGATATAAATGACTCATATAACTCAAAGTAAAGTATTATATATACTTTCATATATACTTTCATATTCTCTCAAATGTGTGAATGAATGTTAATTAAATTTTTTAAATAAAAGAACAAATATCGAGACAATGTGGGCAATTCATTTGTCAGATACTCTTTATTACAAACAGTTACAAACATGTAAATTGTAAAACATAAGATATGAATCTCTTCGTTAAACATGTTTGCGATAAAATTGCGACAAAAATATACATTGTATTTAACAATGATATCAAATACGGCCAATTGAAAAAAGAATATTAGATTCAGCAATTTCACATCGAATTTTCCGTACACCTCGGTGAACATTTCTATTAAAATTCTTGATTATTTTACTAGCGTCACGGATGTTCGCAAAATATTCTGCTTTAATCTCTGATTGAGGCTAAAATTAATTTTTCACAATATACTTTCTCTATTAGCATTTTTAATTAAAAAAAGGTATTTATTTTTATTTGTTTCGATAAGTACATTTTAAAGTTAAATTGATGAATTTATATTTTTTATATTCTAAAATTTTATAATATATATTTACTTATTTTTGGTAGAAACAAATAAAATTGCATCAGTCAAGGATTTATTTGTCCATATAGAAACAAGAGATTAGAAGAGTTAATTCAAATTGAATTCTAAGTGTACGATAAGGTATAATATTACTATCAGCAGAGTGCTCTGTAAATTATTATATCAATTTCATATTTTTAATATTTATTATTTATTTAAAAGTAAGATTTTTTTATATTCATGCAATCTATGGATGTTACAGTTAACTGATTAAAATAATAATAACATATAATAACATATAATAACTTATAATAACATATAATAACATGTAATAACATACAATATAATAACACATATTAGAGAAAATTGAGAAAGATTATCATATGGATCTTTTAAGACATGACAGAGTAACATCTTCAAAATTTATGTTGAAAAAAATTCAAAAAGGATTTTGATTCTTACTTTATCATTAGCTGAGACTGTAAAATTTTAAGGACAAACTGGAGAAAGTCCTGACTGATACTGTATTAGGCCATCAGGCATGCCTAATTATTTTTCAAAATTAATTTTAAGAGTAAAATAAAAAAGTCCTATAAAGACATTGATTTGGCATGCTGTAATCAAGTATGCCTTATTCATAACTGATCAGGAACCGAACATAAAGCATGCCTGACCAAATTTCTATTCGGATAGCTAACTTATCTACATAAATATTTATATATTTTATTAATTTATCTAAAATTTATTATATTTAATAGAACTTCAAAAGAAATATTTTTTATAACACACACATTTGACATAAAATATATTATATTTCTACTGTATAAGTTGTCCCATAAAACTTCAAATGTTGCTAAAAATAATATGATAGGAATGGATACCATATGAAATATTAATATTTTTTCAATGTAATATTTAAATATTTATAATTAACACACGCACTGTTACAATACATGCGATATATGTCAATACATCACAAGATATGTTCTAATTTACTACATGAAATAAATAAAATTAGAATATAGATTAAATAAGAAGCAACAGGTAAAAATTGATTCTTTTGCCTATATACATATAATATCTTATTTTGAAGACATGAGCTTTCTACTTTTGACTGTGCCTTCGCGTCAAATATCGAAAATTTGAACGAGAAATGAGAATAAATACGTATAAAAGAATATTCAGAACATGAGAGCTTTATATACGACTGTGATTGTTGTAGAGTAAAAAATATTGGAGCGAGTTCAATGCGAATTCAAAATATTTTCACTTCGTGATAGTAGAAATATGAAATTCTAGTCGGACAGTTATAAAATTCACGCATGCTTCTTTGTCACTTGTTTCTACTACTTTATTATTATTTCTACTCATTATGAGTTCAAAGCAAAAGCAATAATATGAGAAATAAAGAGATAAAAAATGTTTAGAATGCCGAATGTTTAGATATTATGATAATATACTATATAAATATTTAGAAATTATGATTGTAAAACAAATGAGAGTCTTTAATACTTACAATCAGGTATTATTAATTTGCTGAATTATTCTATTACTTATTGAAATTTAGAATGATTTGGATGTTAATATATTTGAAAAATTTGATCCAAATAACAATTAGTCTAAATCATCTTTTTGTTAATTTAAATCTAAACTATTCATTACTGACATATAAATTACATTAAAAAACAACAAATAGAAATTAATTGTTAAATTAGTTAAAATTTATTAAATTATTTTTTTCCAGTTTTTTCTGTTTCAGAAAGATGTTTCTTAAAAAAAAAAATATCTGTTATTCATTTAATTGAGTTGATATTTTAAGATCGGGAAATGTTTCTAGAATCTAATTTAATCTAATTATAAGTTATAGAATTTTGTATAAAAATAATCTTCAGAGATATTTCTCTCCTTGACGACATATGCCAGAACAAAGAGTTACTTCTCGAAATAACGGGTGACTCAAAAAATACGTCTCATCCGATTGCATCGCGTCGAGCATCAGAACATCTATTTATAAATGTATGTTTTTCGCGCTAGTTTAATATATCTAACTCACAACGAGCAACTAGACAATTTATAATATACATATGAATAAATATTTCGATTTTTGAAGATTTATATCACATTTAATGAGAAAAATTTAAAAAAAAATGAACCGACCAAAATAACTGCACCTTTTAGAAGTAACATTGGCTGAAGAGAAAAAGTAGTGTCATTGCCTTCGCGACAAAAATAACGCGTGTAGCGGCTTGGCGGTTATTTTCATAATTACGCCTCAAAAGTCAAATGGCAGTAATCAAATTTTTTTCAACTAATTTTGCTGCAATTACGCGACTAATTACTTCTATTATTAATTAAGATTATAAAATATGAAGATTATAAAATATGAAAAAATTAACGTAAAGATACATTGAGAGATTGAATATTTTTTTCTCAACATTGTAAAAAATTATAATTATCAGTAAAAAAATTTCAGGTTCGTTTTGTATAAATAAAAGACTCGATAGCATCTCTCAAAAAATAATTACAATTAAATTTAACTTTTCACATGATATTTTATCTCAATATATAATATTTACTCTACAAATAAACTAAATTTAGCAATTGCGAATATTTTTATAAAGTTAAATTTCTATTATCTGTGAAGCAACTTTACATATTTGAAGCAAATAAGTAAAATTAATACATATTTGCATCTATGTATTCGATGTAAATAGAGTTGGCCGAAAACAATAAAAATCTCATATAAATATTCGCAACTGATCAATTAACATAAAAAAATTATAATGTTGAAGGTAACAAAAATATCAAATACTAAAAATATCAATAACTCAAACAGAGACGTCTATTGGACACCTAAAAATGTCGATGATATCTATTGAATATTTGTTTCTGAATATCCAATGGACATCGTTCGCTGTTTGGGCTGTTCGAAATATCGACATCAACCACTTGACATTGACATTGATTCGGCGATTAGTTCCGACAGGTACGAATAAAAAAATAAAATAGAGTATAAATTATCGAATGGAAATAATTTTATTATAAAAAATATATAAGCTTTCTTCTTCACAAATAGCGGAAAAGTAGCGTCATCTATTAACGAATCTTCCAGTTACAACTACATTACTAAAATTTAGTCACTTAGCGACAGCTATTAATACAAAGAAATATAATTAAACAGCTATTTGAAAGAAAGTGCGCAAAGTTCAATTATTACTTAACTGAATAAACTTAAAACGAAAACTTGAAATAATCGCGTATTCGATTAAAAAAGACAATCGTAAGTGCAGAAAGTGTAGTTGAAAAGAAAAGATTCAATGCTTCGCGCAATATCGAAGCTGTCCACGAAGCTAAAGAAAAATCCGTTCTTTCCATCTGCAGATTCCGCAGTCTCTATTCTTTCTCATTCCTTCTCTCTCGCGCTTCCAAGAGTTCCAAGTCGCGAACGCATGCTCGGTCCATTCACATTTCACAGTGCAAAAAGTTGTAGAAGGTGTAACGCGACGCGACGCGGTGTGATATGGCCGGAAGAAAGAGACGAACGGTTCTAAACGAGTCGTAAAGTGCTGCGAAGAGAAGAATAGAAGACGCTCCGTGAACGCAGCGTTTCACCACCACTCGCCGGGTGCCGCTCGGCTGCGCTCGGCTAGCGCGCCAATTAGCGCGCGCATTGCGACGCGCATGCGTTGCCGCGCAGTTGACCTTGACGGGAGCAAACGGCTGCGTCAACGGCAGGCGCCCGCAAACGCTTCGGAAAGAGTCACCGCCACGACAGAAGGAAGGGGAGGGGGGCCGAATGGAGCGGGGGAGGGGAGGCACCCAGCGCGCGTTCCGTGTCGCCCATTGTTGTCCTCGTCGCGCGTAATGGCCACCGTGAGCATTCGTTAACGCGTCGTAAAGTACGCCATATCGCATCCCGGCCTATCCTATACGACGGATAACGCTGCGAGTCTTATCCAGTCGCGAAACATCGCGTACGACAGTTTTTATATCGCCATCGCCGCCGAACGAGGTGCGGACAAAGTGCGAGCGAGCGAGGTGAACGAGCGAGGAAGCGGGACAGAGCGGACGAAAGGGAGCGACAAAGAGGAAACGACGTACGCGACGAGGAAGGAGCGGCGGCGGCCGCGCGTTTCGTACTCACAGTCGCCGCAACCGCCACCGCGCCGCTCTACGCAGCCGACCATGATTTGCGCGGGCCGACGTTGACAAGCGTGTGATTCCGAAGGTGATCGTTCGCGCGCGCTCAAACCGCGTGCTGGAACATACCGAGCGCGTGGTTGGGCGAGCCAAGCCAAGCCATTCCAAGCCAAGCCAAGCGGACCCGAGCCGAACCGAACCGAGACGAGCCGGACGAGTGGGTGAACGGAACACAGAACGTTACGAGCGAAACCAACACCAACAAGATCGTCGCGATTTCGGACGACGCAGTTCCAGCATCACGAAGCTATCATTTCGAGTTCCTAAGAAGCGTCCGTCGAAATCGAACGCCATTGATCTCGCGCGCGGCTCCAACAGCGCGATAAGAGCGTCGCGCGCGCGGCACGCAACACGGTGTGGCAAGAGGAGAGCGGCGCTCTCCTCTTCCCCCTCCCCCTCCCCGACCGTTCTCCCTCGTAGATGCTGAACGTGAGCCGCATCGTGTTCTTACGACGACGTGCACGCCCGCGCGTATCCGCGACGTCGTCTTCGTGGTGCCTGCCGCACGGCAGCTTGCGCCGCCACCGCCGCCGTCATGGCAACTAGAGGATCATCGGTTACTGCTCGGCAGCCGGACTATTAACCCCGCGGCTCGTCGGACTATTACACGTGAGTATGTTTATTACGTGACCACGTTCGCCTGTTGTTTCGTCTTTCTCTTGCCACGCGCGCCAAACAGCCTAAACGAGGCCTGGCATCGTGCTTTTTTTTTTCCCCGCTGCGTCCGTCGCGCCTGTATTCGAACATGTCCCTCTTCACCCTTGTCGTGTTTCCGACTGGGGTGTTGTTTTCCCCGTTGCCATCCGTTCGTCAGGGACCTCCTGCCGGTTGCTTCTCGCATACCTCGCACGTTCTCGCTTAAGCCGACAGTTTATAACGACCGCCTATTGATTGTGCAGGGTCAAAGGCAATACATCAATGGCCCTAGAATCAAATGGCAACAACGTGGTGTGGTTGAACACAACCCGTCCTGATCAAATACAGCAGGTATGCGTCGCGCGTGAGGCAAGCGAGGAAGCGTATACATTTGCGAACACACAATAATCGACTGCTGATCATGTCTCATTTTCAAGTATTCAGTATCTAACTTGTGAATCGTGTTTAAAAGAATAAGATACTTATAGGTATTCATAATTTCTCATATAATTGATGCATCTTCTATCAGAGTGCCTGACGCACACCTTTCTGATCAACAGAGTCAACCAATCGAGCAGCCATTGAAGTGTTCCATGTTTACTCAAACGGAGCAAACTAATAGTTTTACTCAGACGGAACAGAGCAATTCAAGTTACGGAGACCAGAGACAGGTACATTCATTATTTTACAATAAATGAAAAAGAAAAAATTCAAGTTTCTCCTCTCTAATCATTCTCCAATCATAAATGATTTGTTTTTACAGCAGCAAACAGCAATGTTTGACCCACAGCAGATTCAGCAGCAAGCTGCTGCGCAGGGTCAGCAGTCGCAGCAGCAGCAGCAGACTCAGCAGATGTATGTCACATCGGATAAGAAGGAGGACAAATCTCAGCAGCAGCAACAGACGACTACTACTGAGTTCCCTTCCTCCTTCTATTACAACGTCAACATGTTACAGAAGGTTCAGACAAATGCGGTGAGCACAATCAGTGCAATCACCGATGACAAGGGTTGTTACCGTTTCGATGTTCAACCTGTCGGTTATAATACATTGCTAAACCAGATGAGTATTGCCGCTGCGACCGCAAATGCAACGTTCAAGTGTGAGATTTGTGGTCTGGTCTTCGGTCACATGAGCCTGCTGCAGCATCATAAGCGGATTCACACCTCGACGCCCAGCAATTTGCAGCAGCAACCGCAGCAGATTGTGGTACAAACGCCGACAACAGTGACTGTCGCCACTACACCAGAAAGACCGTATACTTGTGACGTTTGTGGAGCGTGTTTTGCATTACCGGGAGAATTAAAAAGTCACAAAACAAATATGCATCAGAAACCAAAGGTGCAAATTTGTGAAGATTGTGGCAGTGAGGACCCATGCGAACATCATCCAACTAAAGTTAAAAAGAGTATGTCCATTAATTTCAGCTATAATCAGTGTCAATCTCATGGTGATATTGATTTCAGTATTAATGCAAAAAAGTACAATCTTACAGCATTAAAAATTTTCAAGATTTTCACATTGAAAATTATATAGATTCTTGTATAAAATATTGTGTACTGTAATCCTTATATGATGTACAAGAAATCATAATCGCTATTTTTATTCATGATTGATAAAATTTGTTTTTTTTTTTTTTATATTATTTTTTTAATATTGTTTGAAGCACGTATGAAGCATTAAAACATGAAGCTTTAAAAAAACATCTTTTGTCAATTCTGTTTTTATCAATAAAATCGCTATTTTTATCATTAAAATCAATTATTAAGTTCAGATTGATGTTAGATAGTAAGATTATTCACGGATTTTTAACTGTAACGAAATATGCATTTTTGTAGCTATCAAACCTGGTCATCATCCTGTAAAACGAAGGGGTGTTACCAGCGTCACCAAATGTCACAAGTGCAATGGCACGGGGATTATTTTTATAGGTAAGCATCATTTGTTAGCTTTCGGCCGCTGATTGGATGTCACTTAATACCCTTGATAAGCCGAAGAAAGATGTTGCTGATAAAGCGTTTTGAAAGCGTCCAAAGTTTATGTTTCAAATTTTATGTTAATATAAACGTTCTTACAAAGGATTGCGTATAATCAAATCAACAATATCAGCGACATTTTATTCAGATATTTCGTCATCCTTTTTCCCTTCATACTTTTCATTGCTATCATGATCGTACATCGGGTGATATATGGTAGGTAAACACGACGAAAAACTAGATTCCGGAATCAGTTCCCTCGCAAAGTGTGGCGGCTGCAAGGCTACAGGCCGCATCGTCATAGGAAGTAAGTCGGATATAATTATCGTCAACACAGAGTATGAGATCTGTTTTGCGATTAGTATGTCTGAGTAATATCGCGTCTGTCTTGGATGGTGACAGTTCAAATTTATTTTCCGTGATCACTTTGGTATTTGCAGTTTTATTGATGTTTGAGTCAACATATAATTTGTATAGAATATTAAATTTTATTAAAAAGAAATATATTGGAATTATAACTTCTTTGATTATTACATAGTTTCATAGATTCTCTGAAAACTCAACGTTTAAATTCAATTTATCAAATCTTCTAAAACGTATTTATTAAAAATATTCGACGAAATTTTGAGTAATTTAATAAATACTATAAATAATATAATTTAATAAAAATTTAATAAATTATCGAATGTTTATCAATAAATTAATACTTTCAACGTTGGATTTTTGATATTGTTTTTATTTTATATTTGCTTGCATGTGTTCTTGTAGGTGGAATATACATTTCTGTTATCCTTCTTATTTTATTCGTTCTATTATTTAATATTCTTGCTATTTCAATTCTTACAAAGTGATTGTGATTAGTTTATTTTGCTGTTATTTTCTTTTCCTTGTTAGTAGAACTGTCGACATCTAAATTTAAGAACAATGGCACAGAATAAAAATCTCCCCTAAGGGACAGTTTTATAAATTATAAAATCGCCAAATTTTAATGTTTTCTGTATATAAGATGAACTTATTAAATTTCCGTTCGACTGTTTATAATTCTTTCGATTTATTTCGCGATATAGCTCATGGAAAATAATTTCATCATTTTTCATAGAGTAAATTGCGTAATAATCAAACCGCAAAATTTCATATTGCTTGTGGCGTTCAGATTTTCTTAGTGCACTAACTTTTATAACAACCTGCATGATCAGATTGTTTCATAATCTTTACATTTAATCATTCATTTTGTAATTTCATATTCCATGTTCATTCATATTTCATTTGTTGGATATAAGAACAAAAATTTAAACATTAGTATCACGAACTCATATCGTATAGATTCATAGATTCCTCGCGGAACAACTTCGAGCTTATCACTTTTGTAGAACTGGCCCTTCGAGGACAACTAAAGCTTTGTTTATGCTTTCAATTTCAGGTGGCAAGCAAAACAGTCAAAATCAAGCGGAGAAACCATTTCATTGTAACGTTTGTGATGGTACATTTTCTCGATATTCTTCACTCTGGTCCCATAAAAGACTTCATTCGGGAGACAAACCATTCAAATGTGAAGTCTGCGGCTTAGCCTTTGCTAAGGGTAAGTAAACGATTAAATTAATTAAATAATGAGACATAAAATAATGATGTATGATCTTTTTTACGCATACTGGCTAACTAAAGATTATATAAGCTTATTTTTTAATACAAATTTTGATTTCTTTTCCTTATAGCTGCTTATTTAAAGAATCATGGAAGAGTTCATACTGGTGAAAAACCGTTCAAGTGCAACGTTTGCGGCATGCAGTTTTCACAGAGCCCACACTTGAAGAATCACGAACGAATTCATTCCGGCGAGCGACCCTATCAATGCGAGGTTTGCGAAAAGACGTTTGCCAGACATTCAACGCTCTGGAATCATAGAAGAATTCACACCGGCGAAAAGCCATATAGGTGTAATATATGCGGTTCCGCCTTCAATCAAGCCACACATCTCAAAAACCACGCAAAAGTCCATACCGGTGAAAAACCGCATAGGTAACTTCAACCAAAGATCCGATTTATCGAAATGCATATTTGTTCCGCATATAATGAAATCTTTGTGTTTTTAGGTGCGATATATGCGAGATTGGCTTTTCCGATCGTTTTGCACTGAAGCGTCACCGTGCGATTCACGAAAAATATGGCCAGACGGCACGAAACCAGAATGCAAATAATCCAGCAAACGCACAACAGGCCAACGCGAGTAATCAGCAGCAGCAGTCGCAGCAGCAGCAACAGCCACAACAGGCACAGCAAGGCCAGGTTGTGGTTGTAAATGCAACTACTCCTGTCACTGTCAGCCAAGGGCAAGGCCAAGTTATACTCGACGAGGTCTACAAGTGTCAGGTGGCCTTCCCAGAGCCTAAATGATTCAGCTAGAGAATACCTTTCAGGAGTTGGTAAAGAGGTTAACTTTTTTAACCTTTTTTTTTTATATTAATCTCGAGAACAGCAAAATCCATGGATATATAATATAAAAAGTAATGGATTTTACGCTGAAAGAGTCAAGTGAATTCTGCACGAGTGACTGTGAACAGCGCAGCTCTTTTTTTTTGTGTATGTGCAGCCACTCAGATTTTGTGAAAGAATATTTGGTGACTGTCGATAGATTGAATTTAGATGGATAAAGATTTCAAGGGAAAAAAAACGAAAAAAAAATATGGACGGAGAGACTCTGCGTGAAGTTTGTGCGAGTGATAAATTTCGTGAAATGTATCCTCGGAAATTTAATTCGTAATATACAATTGGACGATTTTCAACCGCCAACATCAACGAAGTCTTTTTGTGAAGTAATAGAGAAATATGTCTACCTTTATATTTTGCCATTCGAAAAGGTGGAAAAAACAATTAAACCGTATCGCGGCATACATTTCGTATATATTAGTTTTCTAAAATAAAACGGAAAATGTAATTGTAATCGTATCATTCTTTCATACATGTATAATAATCGTTAATTTGTCCACGAGAACAAAATTGCTATACGTCTTGCCAGTATTTCATGATTTCATGAATGGCATTGTGCAATAGTTCCGACAAATTTTGCGATTAGCCCGACAAAGTGTACTTTCGAATGATTGTAACAACGGAGGATTGCGACGGCGTGTGTTTTGGTAATGAAAAGCGCAAGTATAAGGTATCGAATATTTTACTCTTTTTTTTTTTTTTTTAAACAAATTTAAATTGTATGATGAAAAATGCCCAAACCTCGGCCCTTCCAATTCTTCTCAACATCATCATGAGGCTGAATTGTGTGTTTCACAATGTTTAAAATATCAATAAGATTTGAAATATCTGTTTAATTTCGACCGCATAAATTATTTATTTGACAAATGATATACGCGCTAGTGAGCATTGAGTAGTTAACGAGAATTCTGTATCCGGGAAATTTTGTACTTGCGGATAGCGTGGAACGGAACGACATCGCGATTTGTGCGAGCTCTCTTCCGTCCAGTCATTCGAGATCAGAAAACATTGCATCACTGACGATGACGACAACGATCATGAAAAATTACGGAGTAGTGCGGCATACCTATGTAACTCGTTGGGGCTGCAATAATAATAGTGAATATTAACGGGCAAACTAAACCGTTTTATAATTTTAAGAAGCCGCGAACGACATGAATATATATTATAACTGATAAATAGTTGCTAGTTTGTAACAAGTAGCAAAGCTAGATTATATACATATATAAATATATATATATATATATATATATATACATTAATTTTTATATCCCCACTTGTTAAAGCGATCCCGCACTGTCGCTACTTTTAAGTATCAATGATCACCAAACGAATAGATTATATTGATAGCTTTCACACATTCATGATTGATGATTTGTGTGCTATACCACTTTTAATCTCACTTTCAAAGTTATTATTTGGATACTTTCCCGAGAATGCTTTTACAGTTGTTACGCAGTTTCAAACGCAAATATTTTCTTTTACTTATTTTTTTTTTGCAAATTCATCACTGACAAGGAAACTCATGGAAGTCTTTACCTTTGATTTCGATGAGCTTTAAATATATTTATTTCAAGAAAAAAATAAGGAACACATATTTTTTGTAAGGGAGAAAGTGCAACATTCTTTTGAAGAAAATCGATTTTTTGCTTTTAAAGCGAATATCGTTGAAACTAGGGATGCATCGGATCATAAAATTGGATATTGGATGTCTGAAAAGAATGTAATATTGGATCCGGGAAGACAATTTTTCGAGTCGAATATCTGATATTTTCCGACCGAATTCCGAGACATAAAAAAACTCAGTGAAACAAGAAAAAAGGGAATAAAAGAATTGTATCACAGAAATAATAACTGTAGAGAAAAAAAATTGTAATTTTACAATATATAATATAGCATGAGTATGCATACTTATTTAGAGAACATTTATACATACAATAAAAAATTAACAACTTAATAATATAAAATTTCAACCGGGATATATTCCCAGATACTAATAATATCAGATTGGATAGTAAAAAAAATGATAATATCGGATGCATCCCTTGTTGATTTGAAACAGAAAAAATATTCCGAATGAAAGTTGAATGCTTAAAAATTGAAAAGTACTTTATCAAAAAATTAATATATAAAAAGTAATTTATAAAAAAATACATATCCCTTATTTTTTTCTAAAAGCAACATATTCAAAATTTTCGGAAAGAGACATTTTCATGGGTTTCCATGTGAGTTATTTTCGAACAACACTCTCTCTCTTTTGGGGATAATTTTAAAAGATTTTATAATTGCAAAAAGGATACAAACGGTTTAAGAGTATCTAAAATGATTCTTTTTACATGAAATTGATTTATTATGTATTCGCAGAAATTTTAAGACATCATTACGTGATTACCAATAAATTTGCCATTTCGACTCATACGGAATCTGGAATTGGGGATATTTCTTTGTTTTATTAATTAACTTGTAAAATAAAGGTACGCAATTACATATTTTTTCTTTTATATAATAGTAATACCTGTTACAGTATTTTTGATTAGACTAGAAACTTTATGCTGGATTTCCTATTCTCGTTTTCGGTTTTTTCGGGATTAGAAATAGAGCTGTCTAAGCCGTGACTCACGTACAATTAATTTTACAGTTCATTTATCACCACTTCGTGTCGCAACTTCGCCGTGCTTATAACTTTTGCGAATTGTACGGCAAAATGGTCTTAGCTATGTAATGATTTAGATAAGCTCCAGTAAATACGGTCAAAGACAAAGAAACTAGTGGTGATATATATGCTCGAAACTCCAAATTGTCGGGAGTCACAGATTAGATATACCTAAATTAAAATATGAATCATAGTCAGCACATAATGCAGCATCGTAAGTTTACCGAAACGGCAATATTTTGTTCTCTCTTTCTGTACTGTGAAAAAAAAAAGATTTTCCGTTTCAAGCCGATGCATGAACCTGTTTTCTACGTTGATTATGAGGATGTAAAATAAAATAAAGATAATCTTCGATTTTAACATTTAGTATATGTTGCACAGGAGCGATGTTCTTTTCTTTTTTTTTTTTTTTAAATATTTGTTCAGAGAGAACCCATCCCGATAAATAATTTTATCGAAGTGAGAACACAATACTTGAGTATTCTATATATTTGCTAGAATAGTCGCAGATAATTCGTTTCACTGCAATATTGTTATAGTTGTCATGCTTCTTTCTGAAGTGATACACATCGAATAAACGAACAACGAAGATAGAATCGAAATAATTTTTAACATGTCAAAATAATTCTGAGTGATTTGAATCGAACATTGATGGAATCATTTTGATGAAACCTGATGACCTACATATATTTGGCATCTCGTATATATCTTCCAAAATTGTAATAACAAAAGTTTTGAAGAATTCGTTGTTTCGTTCATTCGTTGCGCATACATTCTTTCTCGCGAATGATTTATGACTTAAAAATTAATGCAGAAGGGTGACAATAAAACGATTCTCGTATATTTCACAATCATGTCCTTGTCTTGTAAAATTAGGAGAAAATGCGTAGTTTTGGCAAATACAAACAGGCTTAGCCATTAAATCAGGCGAGATTAATTGTTTTTCAACTTCTGTAATTCTATCGTTCGGTGCGATCAGTGAAAGAAATTATTTTAATCCGTTGTTTTCTCTATACGACAATCGAAAATTAATCGAACAAAATTATTTTACAACAATTGACATCATGGACGCTTAATTTTAATATTTTTTATTTTATTTTGTCTGTCATCTTTCGTTATTTTTTCTCAAATAAATTTTGCAGATTCTGTTTCAGGTCCGAGATATATTCGACAATATTTATATAAAACGTACATTAATATGTAATTATGTGAGTATGAATTAAGTTTACTTTGCTGCAGTTTTATTGCGTTTTGAACTATGATTGAACATTTGTGCCTGGAAGAATAATTATATCTACATTCACCTGCAGAGATGGATTAAGATTGTGAAGGGTACGATTGAAAATATTTCAAAATCGAATAAGGAGGGCTCTAATCGTCGCAGAATAATATGATGTAAAAGAAAGTATACAGAATAAGAATCACGGCACGATAATGTGAACAATGCTCTCGACATAATGCGATCTTTAATTATTAATATTCACTTTTTTTTTTCCAAGGAAAAACTACATTTTGATTACATCGCTAATATCGAAACTGTGATCAAATGTGGTCAAATTTATGTAGTACATGGCTTAAATAAGCGTCCTCATCAAAACTTAAGACAAATACTCTTAAAACTGTTCACGAGCGAATACTTTGTATTGATTGCGCGAAATTCTTTATCAACGACTTTTATACACTTATATCTGCGTCGAAAAAAAGCTTCTAATACAGGAATCGAGGAAAATTGTGGAAATCACAAAATGACCAGAGTGAAGTGTATGAATGTAATTAGATACGAATTGTTAGACGCGACTCAGTAATTCTAAGTAATTCTAACTTGTCAAGAATTGCTGCTGCAGATACGGCGCTGTGTCTCAGAATTCGTTATTATTTTGTTATTATTTCGTTATCACGTTAACCGCGTTAATCTATTTTTCTATTTTATTGTTTCAGTCTTTCATTCGCATGTTTGGATTGCGATTACGGGGCGCGGCGGAATAATCTTTCATGCGTGGAGAAAAGCGATTTTGAAGCGGTGTGTCTTCCCGCAGCAATTCCAGATAATCGTTTCAAGATAATATTTTATAGACGAAAAACTCAGAGCTTCCGTTTGAATCAAAATCGTCTGGAAGCGTCTTCCTTAATCTCAGTATACTGAGTTTGCAGAGATTTCGCAATTTCGTTTGTATAATACATATATCCACGAAAAACCAGTATCAGAGATATTTTTTCATCGCTATTCTCATGCATCTATTCAGTATAATTCTAAGAGTCGTCGAGCGTATTAAATGAATGAGCGGTTCAAACAACTATAATTTTGCATTGTTAAGGGTCGAGGTTTTAGAGCGATTACGATGAAAGTTTGTTTTTTCCAATGTCATTTGACTTGCGTTTCCCGGAAAAATATCACGTACGAATTCCCGAAATCCCTTCAAACATAACATTCGACCCTTCCAGCGTGGAACTCTTTAAAGGCCTGAGAAAAAATGTCAATCGTTTTGCTTGCTGTAATTTTGTATTTATGCAAAGTAGTAAACCGCGTTCGAATTTGTATATTTCCATTTGTCGAAACATACTATTTTTTTAATTGTAGCATCTTACTGTCCTATATATCCAATTCGATGTAATTAAACATCACTTTTGGCGCATTCATCATGTACGAATGAAGGAGGTCACACCATGTGCGGATTGATTTGCCACGCCTCCCTGATTTAATTTACTATATACCTAGATAGATATACCTTATCTATAACGATAGTTATAGTAGTGATTTTTTTATAATAAAACACGTTCCTAATAAATTATCTGTTCTTCATATGTCGTACGAATAAGCGTAACGATTGTAAAGGCGATATTCTGATACCAAGTACTGTGGATATTGTTATCCGCTGAGTGACGAAAATGTAAATTAGGATTAAACGGCCTCTCGTAACGTAATGAAGACTAAAGAGCCTTCGGAGGAGAAGTTTGCTAATCGATACGTTTATCACGCATATACGACGACACGTGTGGGTTTAGCTTCACTCACTCTCCTCCAAGGAACATTTTGATAATTGTAAAAAGGAAGAAAGGAGAAGGACTGTCGCGATATCTACATATTCTCACAAAGTAAAGTGAAAAAAGGATACGTATTGTTAGAATGCCATCGCTACGACTACCCTGTGTCGGTACTTTCTATCGTTAGTTTTACGGGAATACTGGATACCAACGTCTTCTTTTTAACCTTCCCCACCTTCTACTCAAGCTTTTAATCCGATTACTTTGTATCGCGTAAGACAATAATGTACGCGAAGAGATATATATCTATAATGCGTTATTTTAATGTAAGTTAAGAGTCATCCTCTCATTATCACTCTCTTTCTCTGTTTCTGTTTCTTTCTTCGACCACTCATAATTTCTCAAGTCTCAGATGAAAGGAGTCATTTCTTTGTCATCAGTGGTTTCACTTATCGCGCTTGCGAGTGCAATCGGAAAGTAGACTCTCTTTTGTTCGGAATATGGTTGAAATAAATAAACAAAAGATAATGCAATATTTATGATGAATGTTTAGTAGCGAAAAATTAATTATGTGGAAAAAGTGACTTCAGTCAAATTGGATGAAATTATGATATTTTGTAGATGAGATGCTATTCAAAAGTTTTGTATAAGCACAACCACATACAAAAATGGACAAATTTTTGTTGTATCATCATTTGAAAATTATTATTTTTTATTAAAAAATTTGTACTAAATTATTCATTTTATTAGCAACTGTATTTAATATTTTTATATAAAATATAGTTTCAATTTGACTAAAACCACTTTTTCCAAATGATTAGTGCGAGATCCTTTTCAGGTGTCTAAAAAATATTTAGAAAGTAAATTGAATTTAGAGAAATTAATTTTATTAGAATATTTTTGAAGAAACTCTAGATGATTAGGATGTTTTTTAAGATAACTCTTATATTTTTTGAAAGTTGTAGAATCTTTTATTCGTCTAAATAATTAATAAATGTTTTACGTCTGAAAATAGGCCGAGTAAAAATTCTGGATAACAGAGAGTCCGCTGCGAATTATGTGAAATGAAATGACCGTTCCCGACAATTTGTTAATATACATGCTATTTTACATACAAGAGGAAAGAAGGGAGGAAAAAGAAGTCGTAAAAAAGACGTCACTTTTAGATTAGTCTACTGTCAATATACTTAGAACGATAATTTTGAATGTAACGTGTATCATACTTGACTATCGCTTAGGTAACGTGCAAGCCGTACGAATAAAGGAAACTAGCGCATGATTATATCAGACTTTAGGTGATAATAATAAAATGATGTCCGAATACGGACATTTTCATTTTTCAAGGCTCTGGGTGACCTTTATTTTCGTCGTGTGGATGCGTGCGTGCGTGCGTGCGGGTGCGTGCCAAGAAAGAGACATACGTGTTATTTTATACATTGATTATATGGAGAGATAAAACTTTGTAGAATTCCGAAAGGCCACAATAACCATTTATAAACTTATCATTTCGTTACCAAACCCGATTTTTATAAAAGTTCCACGCAACTTTTATGAAATTACAAATTACGAATATCAGTTTTTTTACGTGATCGATTTTCTCGTAATTGGATTGGATGTCTTTAAAGTTATATAGAATATTTCCCCTAATTCCTTGCTTGATATCTTCCTAATATGGAAAACGTGAAGAAAGTCATTACTTTGAATAGTATTTTTTTTTTGTTTTTAACGCCACAGTTTCGACAATATAATCTTCGTTACAATCGAAAGTGAAATACTTTTTTCGTAATTTCTTTCAAAATATTTATATTACTTAATTTCTTTTCTAAATTTTTATATCACTGGATCATTCGATTTACTTTGTATATTCTCCATCCATTTTTTACAATAATTTTTCTCAGAAATCCAATATATTAATTAAGTTTTTAATAAAGTGCCAATAACAGTTCAAATGTAAAAACAAGATTTATCATTGCAAAAAGCCATAATCGATACTTGTTAATGGCTTCTCGTATCTTGCCGATTTTTAATTTATTCAAGTTCACATGTAAGGGCGATTTCAATTATACTATTAATTTAGTTGATGATTGATTCAAATCGGTAGAACTTGCTTACAGTAAGAATTTTTAACTACAATTTTTCGTTCCTAATTGAATTTCTTTTTTGTTACTTGTCAAACAATAGAAAATTAATAATTTTATTTACATTAATAAAATATAGACATTTACCTGATAAAAATTGCCAATAGTTTATGTAATTAGAAACTGCTGTAAATAATTCTACTGACTTTTTTGTAAATTCTGATGAAGTTTAATGGAAGCTTAATGGAAGAAACTACATAATTTGTATAGTTAGAAATTATAATTACATAGAAGTCAAAATTATATATATACATAATATACATAGAAATTTTGCTATAAGCGATTTTACTTGCAATTAAATTAATTACCGATTAAATTAATCGAAATTTGATAGAAATTACTTACATGTCCATATTTCTATCAATGTAGAACTGCATTCAGAAACTTCACCGGATTACACCAAGTATTATTTTATATTGTTGTTTAACTATTTGTTAAACAAGAATGAAATAATTCCTGAATGCTCCTAAAATTTCTAAATGCAGCCTACGTTAAAAGTCTGTTTTTTTTTTCATACCTTAGGCCTGAATATCTTGCACAGTTCATTGTTCTTCTCTTTTCATATTTGAGAGAAAAAAACGAACAGCGCAAAAAATTCAGTTCAAGGAGTTTTCCTGGGATATAACAAAAGAACGGACTTAATTCTTATCTTACCCAAGCAACACAACAAGTCATTATGATATCAAAATGATGTTAAAATGACTCCAAAATAATCATTAAAAGTTCATTTTTCAATTATTTCCGATTCATTTTAATTCGTTTTGCCATGTTATCATAACTTAAATTGTTTTGCTTGGGCTTTATACTTTTTATCTTTCTTTTTATCTTTCTAAAAATTTAAAAAATTAAAAAATGAATTTAAAAGATAAAGAGTAAATATGCATATTAGAAATTAGAATTAAATGGTAGTGCTTTATGCAATTTCTATAAATAAATAAAAATGCATTGAGATTGAAAAGGATTCATTTCAATGTTTACAGATGCGTACTTATGAAAATCTGAATCTATTTCAATCCATTCTCGTTTACTAGGTTTTTATCAATATCTATTAATTTTAATCTCGATTTATTATTGTCTTAGCTTTTTCTAATTCTTAGAACCAGAAAAAATAGAAAATAAATCAAACGGAGATTGAATTAAATTAGTATAATATTTATTAATAAAAGTAAATATTTACATTTATTTTTATCAATGTATTAATTTTAAGTCTCAATTTTATTTATTCTTTACCTTTTCTAATTCTCAAGCCCGGTTGCACCAACGTTACTTTGATTTTAAGCGAAGCTTAAAGTTCTCTATCTCTTCCTCTCTTTCGGCTTTAAAGAGAGAAACTGAGAGTTTTAAGTCTTGCTTAAAGTTAAAGTACGTTGATGCAATCGGACCTTAGAACTGAAAAAAATAAAGTAATAAGTTAAACCGAGATTAAAATTAATTTAAATTGATAAAAATGGACATTAATTTATCATTTATAATCATTTATAATATATCATATATATATCGGCTCTCAAGGAGTTTGTTCTAAATTTCGTATTTTTTTTCCATTTCCGCGACAGTCGATTGGCCGCAAAGCTTGGTGCGCGTGTACCGGGTATGTGAAGTAAGCAGCAGGATTCGTGAACAGCGATCGAATTGTCCAATTGCTGTTGAGAACGTCAGGCGGCGACTTTCAAACTATTGGGTTGCGATTGGTCATCCCGCCCGCTGGTTGCGTGCGCCGTCGGCTTGAGCATTATGGCGTCGTCACAATTATTGGTATAACGTCGTGCTTCGACTTACACGACGAAGTTGGACGAAGTTTCGCATCGTAGTGTCTCACTTGGAATTACTTGGAATTTTCAGTGTGTCGCGATGCTGTTCGCCCAATCATCGCCAAGAATCGCAAGATTTTGAATGGCAGCAAACAAAGCAAAGGTAACTGTAAGACGGAGGTGATATAGCTCGGAAATACTTCGAGACGGAGTATTTCTTGATATGTCGCGCGACTTCTCGGATCTAAAATGTTCGAGGCTGATCTGACGTATCTCGAGTTGACAGCAGTTGACAGTGTCAGCCGTGATTGCAAATCGACAGCGAGGTCCAAGTTCGGTCTCTTAGACGAGACGCACGTCACGTCGTCTTGCGATTTGTTGACCCACGTATGACGCCGGAATGGTACTTGAATGAGATGTGATTCCTATGCTCTCGGCACGCGAAAATGATTCCTACTCATTCTCTGTTCGCGACAGTGACAGCACGTTTGTCCTCGCATGAAACGCGTTTCTCCGTGTTCCGAAACCTTGAAAGTTTCACCTGTCGATCATTACGTCGGTCATTGATATAATTTTGACGTACGCATCAATAATGTTATAGGCAATAAATAATCGTAAGACGCGCTTATAAAGGAAGATATTTATTTAATATGAGACCGACGAGAAACTTTTTAACAAGAAAGAAAGAGAGAGAAAGAAGACTTTAATACTGTTCTCGGGAAAGCTTTCTAAGTTCATAGAAATAAAAAATGTACAGAGAGAGAGAGAGAGAGAGAGAGAGAGAGAGAGAGAGAGAGAGGAGGGCAAGTGTGTAATATTCCATACCATAATTTTTTTTATTGAAATATTTTAAATCTAAAAATGGATTTATCTTTACAAGCACACATAATTACAATTTCATTATTATTCTAAAGATTAAATTAATTCTAATTAATAATTTTCAAATTATTAATTTGAAAAATTGTTATTCTGGAATCAGAATTACTAATTCGGAAAATCGTTATTCTGACGTTGAATATCACGAATACCAACGAGAAATTATATAAGATCTATAAAATTTTTTTCAGCTGAACTTATACGATTTATCTTGCCTCTTTTTTTCTCTATCTTGAAGAAAGAAAAGATGAACGATACGAGAAGTTCAGTTAAAAAGAACAGTATAATTAATAACTTTGTAAGTTCTGTCAGTCGAGTCATCGATATTCCGTTACATTCAATATGTCGCCTGATCTTCACCCACTAGGTTGCTATTTATATTAGTGGCATCTGCGTGTAATTCAATTGATGAATGGATAGATCACTTTCTTGTTATCTAACGGATGTGTCTGGAGCACGTTGGGTCTCTGCATTTCTCGACGATTGTTGAATCGGCACCACACCCGCATAGTCGAGAAGTACAGTATTTCCATGAACGATAAAAAGCTGAAGCCCATGAAGAGACCCAGCAAGCCTCCCGTACTCGCTATAAATTGAAATTCCTGATTTTGTAATATTTTTTTCTAAATAATAACTTGTAGAATGAAAGATACCTACATAGAAATTCGATGAATCCGAAGAGCTCACTTTTCATGTATTTCGTGAATTGAGAGTCCACGAAAAATAAGTGAACCACCGCCACGTTTTCCCTACGTTTAAAATTGCATTTAAAAAATTGGATTAAAAAAATATTATAAATTACGCGAGAAAGAAGAGAAATGAAATATTGAAATTTATTATGAAAACTTCTATAAATATGCTTGTGAATCGGACGCAATACGGATAATGCACAGGATGTCCAAATAAATCTTAATTCAACGATAAATTTTCCACTCACTTATATTTGAGTTTTGTTAAGGAAAACAGAGACATTATCGTAATTTGCATAAATGTGCATTGAATTTATATTTGAATTTAAATTTGAACATGAAAATTTATGAAAGATAAAATCTATTTAAATGTTTTTTTTTCCGGACATCTTATATCCCTGGAATCTAAATGTCAACCTGTTGCATCTTTTATGTGCGAACGAATACTGCCGCGATAAATCGCGCGTATTAAGTTTTAATTACGTGAAATAATCTATGTTCTTCTTCACATATTGTTTGTTGGTTTGGAAGGTCTGCACCAGTTTGTTCTGCGAAAGTTCTATCCTGTAATTAATCTCGAAGCAGGCTGGCCAGCAATTGCAGCTTGGTCTGCGAGAAAAGAAAAATTTGAATGATCTTCTAGAAAAAGATGTAATTCTGAGGGAACTCACATCGTAATATTATTCAAAACCTCATCGTAGAGTTTGATTTCCATATCTTGTCTAGCACGTTTAGCGCATGGTTCGTCTTTTTTGCCGCAGATCGGCGTATTTGATGATTCTACAAATAATATTGCTCTAGTAGATAGACAAAAAAAGTATTTGAATCAGAGATTCCAAAAAATCTATTTTAGTTTTTCATTACTCTACCATCGCTAATTGAACAATCTTAATCCATTAAGGACCACTGATCGATTTTTTGACCAAAAAAAATAAGTCAACTTTCGGACCAAATTTGAATCAATGCTTGCAAAATCGATTATCCTCCTTCCCTTCGCGTAAACAATCCCAGGGTGAAAATTTTTGGCAAGTAGGCTTCTTAAGGGCATAGTAGCTTGCCATTAATTTTAAATTTTGAGAAAAAAAATTTGTCTTGGTCCTTAATAGGTTAATATATTATAAATAATAAAAGAAAAATTATTTTAAGAAATTTGAGTTTAAAAATATTGCGAAAGAAATATTTTGATCGTACAATTTAAGAACGAATAGATTTTCCACATCCTGAGGACAAGAATAACGTTAAAACTATTGTCTGTCATGTATCCTTGTTCTCGTAAGACTTATATAAAAATTTATAGCTAGAATTGTAATTCTATGCATATTGTAAGATGTTACAATTATTCGTAAATCTACGATTTCTCGTAAATCTTACAAGAAGCTATCTATGATTAAAATGCAGTAAAAATACTGCATAAGATTATAAGTATTTTAATCATCAAATTCTTATAAAGCTTACGAGAACAAGTTACAATTTTATTTAAAATTAACCTATTAGCATACATATGATAACATTTAAACTCTTAGTATAATACATACGATGATTTTTCGATGATGACTTTTACACATGATTCTCTGATTAATTTTTATCACTTTAACAAATATACAAAAATTAATTGATTCTTACATATACTTTAACATCTTTAGAAAGTATTTATAAGTTATTGTATATTTTAAAATGATATATAAGTATTATAATTACTTATGCGCCTACTTTTTCGAAGAAAAAAAATGCAGAACAAGAATGACTCAATCATGTGTACTAAGGATTCAAGAATGCGAAAAATCATCAAATTACAAGTTCGAGATATTTCTTTTGCAATTTTGAACTCAATATTTCTCAAAATAATTTTTCTTTAATAATTTATGTATTTATTAGCTGTTAGGTGTATTTGTTAGCTGCATTAATCTAAGAAATGTAATTCAGAAATGAATTTAGATACTTGATTAATGTATTGAAAATAATCAATCATAATAATCATAATAATCAAATTTGTTAATGATAATTACTTGGCATGTAATACTGCACACAGTTGCAGAGCTTTTTTGTATAATTTGCCTCGCACTCCAGAATGCAATTCCTCTGTGTGTATGTCCGGTAGTAGCGCAGTTTTCTTTCAGACATAAAAAAGCATTTCCGTTTCTTCTGCGCTATAGAAATTATTGATGGATTGGCGTACGATATCCGTGGTCTTATGATTATCCGAGTCTCTTCACCCGGTGTGATTGAGAATGAGAAATCAGCGATTTTCGGTGTCTCTACGGGATTATGGAGTAACATCTGCAGAATCATAACCATGTTATTTAACATCATCATTGGAGAACGACATTGCATTGTAAAAAACATATTCTATAGCACCAATCTGAGAATTTACAAACTTGAATTTTAACAAGAGAAAAGAAGATTCGTTAACTATTTTTCTAATGGTGGATTGTTTCCAAAATCTTCCTTTAATAATCTCATTTAACGGATAAAATAAAAAGAAGAGTTTTCGTAGCGTAAGACGCACTTTAAAGCCTGCACCGGCGGTTGACGAGCAATAATATTCGTCAATATCAACATCAAGAGCCAAAGTCAAGCCATAAGTTAACCCAGCACCGTATGGTCGCCATGGTATAACATCCGGCGACATACTCGCGTCGTATCCCTTTTCAGCATTCCAATCAACACTTTCAGATGGATACGTTATATTCAGATCAGACCAGTCGAGTCTAAAACAGTAGAAATAAAATTTTAGCAGAAATTTTCGGTCATAGAGTATATTTCTATTTCACAATTACGTCAATTTGATTACTCACGGATTATAGAAGAGATGTTTTCTTGCTACTGAGTTAAAATTGCAACAAATACCCTCGTCAGTCATAGTAGGATTAAAAATCCTTTCACATTCGGTCGAAATCCCGTGCCAAAGACAATAGTATATCATATCTGTGCATGGCTGGGTTACCTGAACAAAGAAATGAAGAATAATTTTCTAATAATATAATTATTCAAGATAAAAATAATTATAAAATAATCTGAATTTTATCAATTGATTTCAATCTAATCATTGATCGAGAAATATGATTTTAATTCTTTACAATTGTCTCAATTAATTTTTCTTGCAAGAGAAAACAAAATTAACTATAATTGTTGTATGGCATTTTCTTAATAATAATATATTTATATTTTTTGAAAATGTCAAATTTTTTTATTAATTTAATCCTCCAGGAATTGTTTTGATCTCCAAATAAATAGATAAAAAAACAATAT